GAGCACGCCCCTCTACAGGAGGAAGGTTTGAAGATAGTCTGGGGACGAGTCTCTTCACCATTTTTGCACGGTGTTGGTTTAAGCCTTTTTTTTTATCTTGCGCCCAAAGTCCGCCTGTAGGGGGACATTCCCGACCTGAACTCACGTCGGGCACGTCCCTCCACAGGAGGAAGGTTTGAAGATAGTCTGGGGACGAGTCTCTTCACCATTTTTGCACGGTGTTGGTTTAAGCCTTTTTTTTTTATCTTGCGCCCAAAATCCGCCTGTAGGGGGGCATGCCCGACCTAAACGCACGTCGGGCACGTTCCTCCACAGGAGGAAGGTTTGAAGGTAGTCTGGGGACGAGTCTCTTCACCATTTTTGAATGGTGTTGTTTTAAGCCCTTTTTTATTCTGCGCCCAAAATTCGCCTGTAGGGGGACATGCCCGACCTACACTTACGTCGGGCACGTCCCTCTACGGGAGGAATCTTCAAGCATAATCAAAAGAATAGTCTGGGGACGATGTTTCTACTACTTTCGGATATTTTGGACCACGTTTTCGATTATTTTCATTTTTCGTTCAAAATCTCTCGCCGGAGTGGTCTTTCGTCGGAGGGCCCTTTGGAAGCCGGTTTATTGGTTTTTCCTTCACACTCAGGCAAATTAATTTGCATGGCGTTCGCCCCCCCCCCCCCCCCCCCCCTCCCCCCCTCGCCCCTCTTCAGTCGAACACGAGCGTGCAAGTGCCTTTCGACTTGCGTGGCTTCCGCACGTCAGGTCGTTTGCAGCCTGCTGCAGGCTCAGCCCCCCCCCCCCGTATGCAAGTAAGCCTGCCAGAGTCTACAAACAACCCAGGCTCGATCGGCAACGCACAAGAGTGACCTTTCGCCAGAGCGCCAGAGGGGCCGTTTTGGTGCGTGCCCAATGCCGGAAACTGGAGCACATACATTACCAGTGGCGGGCCCCAGACCCCCTCGAGTCATGAGCAACTCACGACGGGAGGTTTCTCGCCAACTTCGGCCTTTGGGAGGCCCTTCCCAGGCCTCGGGGCCGTCACGAAACGACTCGGGAGGAAGAGCGGGTCCCAGAGACGGGGTCGAGACCTTGGGGGGTCGACGTCATGAAGAAATCATGACGCCCAGGGTCTGGGTTTGGTGCGGGCCCAGCGTCGGAAACTGGAGCATCTACATTACCAGCGGCGGGCTGTCTCAATCCCAGGACTTTGGGAGGGTCGGGGGCGACGTCGCAGTGGTGCGGTGTATTTGTTGTTCTCCTTTTGTTTCCCGGGGAGACCACGGAAACTGTATACACCAGGATCCCGTATCGCCCAGGATCTGCTTTCCTGTGCGAATTGCAGTGCGGAGCCGGAAAGAGCGTCGGTGTACTTGTACAGTTCGGTTCTGTATTCGGTGCGGGCCCAATGGGGTCCCCCGGTCGTTGAGCGCGAAGCGGTTGCAGCGGCTTGCGCTCCCAGGTTTGGCCACCCCGCGTCCCCCCTTCAAGCCCCGCGCCGAAGCTGGGCCTTGATGCACTGGGCGCAGGGGCCGTCAGCAGGAGGGCTCGGGGCGAGGAAAACGGGTTCCCGTGGAAGTGGTCGAGAGGTCGGTGGCCCGCGCCTCGAGAAGAGGGGAGACTCTGAGACGCCGGAGGCCTCTCGGGGTCGGAGAAGGGAGCAGCGGCAAACGCCCCCCCCCCCCCACACACACGAGGTGGGCCACCTCCAGCGAGGGGGCCCACGAGGCCTCCCCTCGCAGCCGATCTTTCTCCCCCAATCCCCGAGCTCCGCCCGAACAGTTTGGCCGCTCGGAAGAAGGGAGAAGCCCTCGGATACATCCGCGGTAGGCTACTCGGACGCAACCTTGTCGAGGACGGACGCGCCCCCATTGTATATCCTAGGCTTAGGCCCTAAATTTCTGGTCCATTCGAAAGCCCCATGAAACCTGGGATAGGGGTCGACATGTCCCCTGTTGTCTCCGATCTGGGACTGGGGGATGTCTCGGGCGAGAGGGGGGGACCACGTCACCAGGAGGACCCCGCTCTGGCTCGTCTTTTGCCCAGTTCCCGCCCTGCGGGTGCGATGTCGGTGCCGGGGTATACCCTTCGCCCCCACTGGGGTTCCGCTTGGCTGCAGGCATCCGTCAGTCAAGTTCGAAGCGGCGGCCGCTCTGTTCAGAAACCCGACCTTCAGGAGACGTCGGCCGCAGCCCCGTGACCCGAGAGCGGGCATCGCAGACAAGCCGCAGCGGCGCTTTGGAAGACACTGTGTCGGCGCTTCGTCATGTGGTACGTGGGTCGAACACTTCCAGGGCCGACGGGGTCCTAACAGGGGTCAAAGCTTCAGGAGGGGAAAAAACACACAGACACAATTAATCGTCGAATCCTTAGAAAATATGGGAAAATGTGGGAAGTGGGGGGGAAGACAAAAAACCTCGACAATATTGGAAAAGATAAGGAATCTTACTATTTGTGTCTATGTATTTGTGTGTCCCAGGGCCCCTTCAAAGATTTCCTTTCACCAGGATCTCCACAGGGTGGATGGGGGGGGCGGAGGGGGAGGCGTCTCGCCGATGCAGCGGTGCGTGTGCCTGCAGCTCCCACTGGTGGTGCTCTGGCTCGCCCTGGCCCGGACGTGCGACCCACGAGGGCGCTGTGGCTCGACGTCTCTGCCCTCGCAGTGCCTGTGTCAAAGAGTGCCTCCCGCCGGAATCTCCACAGGGGGGCCCGGGGAGGGGGGGGGGGGCGGGGAGGGGAGGGGGGGGGGAGGCCAGCGCAGGTCAGAAGAGTCCGCGCGGACCGCCACGGGTGCACGCTCGTGCCGCTTCCTGTGCCTTCGCTCGAGCGGAGTGCGCGTCGGCCCCGCAGGGCCCACGCGCGCACGGAAGGCTCGCAGGTGCTCGTGCGGTAGGTCTCTCTGCGTCCCACACGGGTCTGGTTCGCTGGCCAGCCAGGGGCGCCTGGTGTGTACCTTCTCAGATCCGACTTCCGCGTCGACTCGCGTCGACTGCAAGCGTCTGCGAGGCGATGAGATGTGCCGATTTAGCGTCGGCTAGCGTCGATTAGCGTCGATTTTGCGTCTAGCGTCGATTGGCGTCGACTCGCAAGAGCCGACACGATGGTATGGGAGGCACCCACGAGTTGCCACGGAAGGTATGGCCCTTCCGGCTTGCAGAACGCCTTCGCGGAAGCTCTCCAGGCTTCCAAACGAAATGCGTCTTCGGGGCCCTTCCAAGAAGGCCCCTGCCTTCTAAGGAGCACTCCAATCGAAGAAGACAAACGCCAGATATCATAAAGTTTCGGCGCTCCACGCAGATGTCTTGGATCCGCACTGGGGACCCCTGGCGGCGCCGGGAGGCTCCGCGCGCCAGGGAGGGGGGTCCAGCGCAGATCCAAGAGATCTGCGCGGAGCGCCCCTTGCCTTCTAAGAAGCACTCTGGCTCCTTAGGAGGCCCCCCCTTTGCGCCACCCCGTCGCGCGCGCCGCCAGTGAACACTCGTCGCGTGTTCTGCGTTCCCCCCGCAGGCATGGCATGGGGAGAGGCAGCGGCCACAAGCGCTATGGTGACCTCGCTGAAAGCCGTCTGGCGCGCTGGGGTCCGCGTCAGAGAGTGGAAGCATTCGGCAGCATGGCATCGGAGCCTTTGTGTGCCCTCGCAGTTCCGTCTGCAGAATGCAGTAACGTGCGCCGCTAGCGCCTGGCGGTCGATGCGAACGCGCCGACTTAGCGTCGACGAGCGCCGATGCAGCACCGACTGGCGCCTCTTTAGCATCGGTTGGCGTTGACTCGCGTCGACTGGCGTCCGGCAGCGCCGACACGCCAGAACCAGCACGACGGCACGGGAGGCCACAGAGGACGCAAGAGATCAGATGGGCAGTGAGAAGGAGAAGGCCTTCCCAGAAGGAGACGGGACCTCCCAGAGGCCCTCGCGCCGTCCGAGAAGCGTCCTGTGTCTTGTCTTCGGGGAGGGCTTCGAGCACTTCTCGGAAGGCTGGGGGGGGGCCGTCCGACCGAGCCTTCCGAGGTGGCCTTCTCCTTCTCACTTCCCCCCCTCCCTCGCCGCCAGTCGGAGGCATAAAGTATGGTCCTCCAGCAGGTGGACCATATCTCTTCGAACCACAACACATCCCAGGGGACTTCTGGCGGTGCTCTGGGGGGTCGAATCTTTCTGCCCGCTCACGCCCCCTCCTTCGTCACGCCATCAGTATTGATTTCGGGGGGTCGGGGGGGGGCATCTTGAGCCACAGGGCTCGAATAGAATGTCCATGTACGGTCCCTCTCTGCCCAGACCCCCGGCGTCGTGATTTTTTCACAACGTCGACCCTCAGAGGTCTGAATCCCTTCCCGGGGACCAGTTTTTCATCCTGAGTCGCTTTTTGACGGTCCCGAGGCCTGGGAAGGGCCCTGGGAGGCCGAAAATAGAGAAAAACCTCCCGTCGTGATTGTTTCACAACGCGAGGAGGTCTGGGATCGGAGGCAGCAGGTATGGCCCTCCCCGTCCCGTCCCGCCCCCCCCCCCCCTACCAGGCCCAAGAGCGCCGTCTCCGTGCGGCCCCCGGCGTCGAAGCCGCGGCCCGCGGTGCGGGAGGAGGCCGCGCCGCTGCCCCCGGCGCCCGCGGAGGCCTCCTCTCCCGCCCTCCGGCTCCTCCAAGCACGCCACCGTGGCGCAGGTTTCTGTCAGTCCGCCCCCGCCAGCAGCGCAGCAGCGCGACGCAGCTCGCAGCAGAGGTGCTCCAACTGCTCCGCGCTGGGGCGCATCGCGCTCGGCAATTCATAGGGTTTGGCGCGGAGTGGACTCCGAGCCGGTGCGGGTGCTAAGCACTCGGCGGATCGGAAGCTACTCCGCCGAGTGACGCAGTCATCATGTCATGGTAGGAATCTTCAGAGGGATAGGAGATATCATCAGAGTTGGTTTACCCCAGAACTGGTTTGCCCGTCGGGCCTGCGAACAAGATACGTGGAAGGCTCCCCTCCTGGGGCCCCTCCTCGAGCTCGGCTCCTTCCTGAGATCTTGTCGTGGGCGCTGCACTCAGGTCGCGGTGCAGTGGGAAGGTCTGGGATTCAGAAACATATGGTCGCGAGGGCTCTCCCGCCTTCCGGCTTCTCCTCCCCGGAGATCCGCGTCGTGGTCGCTGCAATTAGGTCGTGGGCGCTGCTACAGGAGGAATGTTCAAACATAGTTCTAAAAGTAGTCTGGGACAGTTTACTATTTTCAAGCATTTGGGGAGTATTTTTGGAGTATCTTTAATTTCTCGCCCCAAATCCCCCTGTAGGGGGACTGACCTGAAATTAGGTGGGGAGTGTGAGGGTCTGGTCATGTCTTCGCCGTTGCTGCTGCTCCTGCTGTTGCTGCTTGTCTTCGTGGAAGTCCTGCGCAGCAGGCAGACCAGCGACAGCCAGCCGAACTGGCTGGTCCCGCCAGATCGCCAGACCAGCAGCAAGACTAGGAGAATGGCCAATCAACTCACCAACCAAGACCAACCAGACCAGACCAGACCCAGTAGACTAGACCAGGCGAACCAGATGAAGTACTCGACCAACCAGAGCGGCCCAGACAAAGGCCAGCCAAGCGAAGCGAACAAACCAAACCAACCGAACAAACCAGACCAGAGCAAACATGCGTGACCACACCTGTCAGACCAACAAGCCGAGATCGGATCCAAATGAACCTTGCCGAGTGGACCAACAAGACCAGCCGGACGAGCCAGGCTAACCAGACCCAGTGGAGCAACCACGGCAGACCAAGCAGACCAACCAACCAGATCAACCAGATATGAGAAGAGCCAGCCCACACCAACCATGCCGAGCAGATCAGCCAGACAATCTAGACCACCAAAGCAAACGGAGCCAGACCAATCAAACCAGTTCGACGTACCAGACCAGACCAACCAAGCCCACCAGGGGAACGACGCGACCAAACAGAACAGAGTAGACCAGCCAGACTAGACCAATCCAACCAAGTCCAGCCACGCGAATGCGACCAGCCAGGCCAGTCGAACCAGACGGACAATGCCGCCCAGACCGACCAGACCAACCAGACCAATCTGACCAATCCAACCAAACCAACCAGGTGAACGCTCGCGCGACTTGTATCACCAGGTGGGCAACCATCAGCAAGCTAAGCCAGCAAAGTAGACCAGCCACGGCGAAACAAAACAAACGAGAATGCAAGTTGTTGAACCAAGCAGGCCAGCAAGATCTGCAAGTCAAACCAGCGAAGTAGACCAACCAGACCAACCAAGCCAGTCAACCAGACCGACCAGACAGCCATCAGCACCAACCAACCAGGCAGACCAACCAAACCAGTCAAACAAGCCAACCAGACCAACTAGACCAACCAGACCGACAGCCATCAGCACGAACACCGACCAGGCCAGCCAGACCAACCAGACCACCGATGCCAACATCTAGCAGCGAAACAACGGCACCCCGAAGCAGACCAACCCGGCACTGCAAAAGAAAAGTCAACGCAGCAAAACATGCAAGGACAGTCGAACGATTGTGTTGTTGTCGTGGTGGTTGGAGCTGCGCGCTTCGCACCTCCCTGGACCTCCCCAAACCGCATCCGGCGCGCACGCGAAATCATGATTTCAAGCTCCAGTAGAGGAGCAGCAGCACTCAGAAGCAGACCCTGACTGCATTGCAGTAACAGAGTTCAGCGCGCACGAACAGCACTGCCAAACAAGAACTGAGTGTAAACAACAACAGTGTTGCTGTAGTGGTGGTTGGCGCTACGCCTTTCGCAACTCCAGGGGCCTCCTCAAACCGCATTCGGATCCCCGTGGAAGTGCATATAAGCAGAAGATCTAGCCTCTAGCAGTGAAACAGCGGCACTCCGAAGCAGACCAAGATTGCATTGCTCATAAAATGCAATGCAAAAACAAAGGCAAAGCACCAGCCAACTGTTTTGCTGTCGTCGTCGTGGTTGGCGCACGCGCTTCGCACCTCCCTGGACCTCCTCAAACCACATGCGTCTCGTAGGCGGAAACGCAATCATAAGCTAAAAGTCCAGCAGCGAAACAGCGGCACTCCGAAGCATACCAAAATTGCATCACCAAAAACAGCAATGCAGCAAATTCAGCAGCAAACTGCAATGACTCAAAGACACTCTCTGGCTGTCGTCGCAGTGGTCAGCGCTACGCGCTTCGCATCTCTCTTGGCTCCATGAAAAACGGGTTCGGCCCGCACGCGGAATCGTAATCATAAGCTCAAGCGCTGGCAGAGAGGCAGCGGCACTCCGAATCAGACCAGAACTGCAATGCACAACAAAATGCAGTGCCCAACGAACGATGCACAATGACCTGTTTAGCTGTCGTCGTCGTCGTCGTGGTTGGCGCTGCGCGCTTCGCACCTCCCTGGACCTCCCCAAACCGCATTCCGCTCGCACGCAGAATCGTAGTAGGAAGTTCGAGCACTAGCAGCGAAGCTGCGGCACTCCGAAGCAGACAAACGTTCCACTGCAAACAACATTTCAATGTAGCGTACATGCAATGCAACACAAACACATTCAATCCACAGGCACCTGTTCTGCTGTCGTAGTCGGCGTGGTTGGCGCTGCGCGCTTCACACCCCCTGGTCCTCCTAAAACCAAATTCGGCTCGCACGCAGAACCATGAGCATATGATACTTGAGAAAATCCCAAATCATAATCGTTTTAGGGCTGTAGGGCTATAGGGCTTCAGGGCTATATGGGCTCTTGGGCGCTATATGGGCTATTGGGCTATCTGGCTATATGGGCTATAGGGCTATAGGTTTATTGGGCTATAGGGCTATGTGGCTACAGGGCACCCCCCGGCACGCGGTCATCCCCGGGCACGCCCGGGCACCCGGGCACCCAGGCACCCCCGGGCACCCGGGCGTGCGGCGAAAATCGGTGGCAAACCTAACCTAACCATATTAATCCGCTAGGACCCCTACAGAGGCAAGCTCTGATTGGGGAAACTTCAAGCTCTATCAGCGAAACAGCGACACTCCGCGAAGCTCAAGCTCACGGCTCAAGGCTCAATCTTCAAGCTTGCTCTTTTGAAGCGTGGTGTTCCGCCGTGCGCTGCACGGCTGCGATGTTTATCCTCCCTTCCTCTCCTTTCCCATCATCTCCACCTTTCCCTCCTCCTCCTCTTCCTCCCCCTCCCTACTCACACTCATGCGAGCCATCTCCCCCCCCCCCCCTCAGGCTCAGGCGGAGCCTCAGGCCGATGGGCAGAAGCGCCACATCAGCAAGAGCTCGAAGATGATCCAGGCCGATGGCAGCGCCAGAGGAGGAGGAGGAGGAGGAGGAGGAGGAGGAGGAGGAGGAAGAGGAGGAGAGCTCTCAGACTTCCTGTGCTTAGGTGCCTATGGGGCCTCTCTTGAGGCTGGCTCGAGGCCTCGGGGCGAAGCCGATCGCGCGTGCATCGGACGAGACCTTTCATAAGGATACTCCACTCAGTGCCGAATGACTTGGTGGCGCATGTTTGATGTGTATATAACTATATATGTGCAAGCATGTATTCATATCTGTAAATCTATTCACACACATGTACACATATGTAGATATACATATTCCGCACAGCGTGCATGTGTATACACATGCACTTGTACGCATATTCTCAGACATGCAGAAGCACAGACCCAGACCCCCGACGTCATGATTTGTTCAGGACGTCGACCCCCAGAGGTTTCGACCTCTTCCCCAAGTCCGGTTTTTCGTCCCGAGTCGCTTTTTGACGGTCCCGAGGCCCGGGAAGGGCCCCCAGAGGCCGAAAATGGCGAAAAACCTCCCGTCTCATTGCCCGGGGGGGTCTGGGGATGTAGGTGCACACCTGAGCCGACCAAGCCGCCCACGCGAGGGCCTCGCCGACCTCGGCGGGGAGCTCGCCGCCCTCGAGAGCGCCCTCGGCGACGGCACCCGCCGGGCCGCGCGCGCCCCCGTGCCGCCGCGGCCAGCCGCGCCGGCCGCGGGCGCCCGCCGCGCGCCCCCGAAGCGTGGGGCCGCGGCGGGGGACACGGCCGTGAGGCGGACGGCGAGCACGCCCGAGACGCCCCCGCCGCCGGTGCGCGGGGAGGGCGACGGCTCGGCCTCCTCCTCCTCCTCCTCCTCCTCCTCCTCCTCCTCCTCCTCCCTCCTCCCTCCTCCCTCCCTCCCTCCTCCTCCTCCTCCCTCCTCCTCCTCCTCCTCCTCCTCCCCTCCTCCTCCTCCCTCCTCCTCCTCCTCCTCCCTCCTCCTCCTCCTCCTCCTCCTCCTCCTCCTCCTCCTCCTCCTCCTCCTCCTCCTCCTCCTCCCGAAGAGGTGCGCGGGGAGGGCGACGGCGTGAGGAAGGCGTCCTCGGTCCGAGGCGCGTCCCGGCCCCGGGTGGAGGAAGATGGGCACACCCAGACCCTCTCGCGCTGTGGGCCAAAGTCACGACGGAAGGTTTTTCGCCCTTCCTTTTTCGGCCTCCGGGAGCCCTTCCCGAGCCTCGGGACCGTCAAAAAACGACCCAGGATGAGTAATTCCCCGGTCCCCAGGAAGGGTCGACGCTGTGAAACAAACACACGATTGCACATAAGTGCACAGGTGGCATAGGTCCTGGGAGGACGAGGGGCATAAGTGCACCGAAGCTTGCGGAGCTTCCGCGCGGGTCTCTCTTGGGGCCTGCGGCCCGGGCGCCCTCCCAGCGGCGCCTGCGGCGCCGCCCCTGGCGCCCTTCGCGCGCCAGTGAGGGGGGCCCAGCGCAGATCCCAGAAGTCCGCGCGCAGCTCCAAAAGGTTAGATCTATGCCCTCTCACTGTTGTCCTGGGCCCCTACTGCCGCTCAACTCCCAGACACCCAGCGTACCCTGAAAATCCAGCGTCGCGACCTTGTCGAGCCGGGCAGTTTTTGCCTCGCTTCGGGCCCCGGGGGGGCCCCCACAGATCGATGCGGCTCGAGGCATGGCGCAGGGACGATGGCCCAGGGTTCTGGTCAAATAGGAAAACCAGGCCATCAACAGAAACGTTTGGCGCTGCGCGCGGATTTCTTGGATCTGCGCTGGTTCCTCCCCGGCGGCGCCTCAGGCGCCGCCCCTGGCGCTCCGCGCGCCAGGGAGGGGGGCCCAGAGCGGATCCAAGGATCCCGCGCGGAGCGCCAAAAGTTTATGGTTATGTTTTCCCCCATATCCAAAGGATGGGATTATTGTTATTACTGTGACCACGCGGACCTTCCTTTCACTTCCTCCCCCTGATGATATGCCGTGGTATGTTATGTTACGTTATGTTAGATTATGATAAGTCTGTTTTGTTGTCTGCTGATGTGATGATGATAATGCTGATGTTGTTCATGGTGATAACTATGTTGAATGATGGTTATGATTATGCTGATGATGGTGGTGGTGATGATCATGATGATGCTGCTGATGATGCTGATGATGGTGGTGACGATGTTGATGATGACGATGATGACGATGATGATGGTGATGACGATGATGATGATTCTGATGATCATGATGACAATGATGACGATGACGATGACGATGACGATGACGATGACGATGACGATGAGGATGAGGATGAGGATGAGGATGAGGATGATAATGATGATGATGATGAAGATGATGATGATAATGATGATGATGATGATGATGATGATGATGATGATGATGATGATGATGATGATGATGATGATGATGATGATGGCAGAGCAAATTTCGAGGATGTCTCGAGCGGTTTGCTGGTTTCAGCACTCCTAAGGGGGGGCCGCCAGGGGTATTTCACGGCCTCCGTTCGCGCCAAAAATTTGGGGTTGTCTCGAGCGGTTTGCATCCTCCGGTTTCGGAGCAGATTTGAAGGATGTCTCGAGCGAGGCGCGGATTTCAGCACCCCCAAGGGGGGAGCCGCCATGGGTATTTCAGGCTTCCGTTCGCGCCAACATGGCGGGGATGTCTCGAGCGGTTTGTTTGTTTACATTTGGCGGATGTCTCGAGCGAGGCGCTCATGTTCGCCCCCAAGGGGGGCCAGATTTTGAGGATGTCTCGAGTGGTTTGCTTATTTTGTTGGCCAGACTCGTGGGCACGGATCCTCTTCAGGATGCCACAGGAGGCTCCAGCAGGCTCCAGGAGGCCACCGGACGTACCAGGAGGTATCAGGATGTCACGGAAGCCACAAGAGGGTCCAGGAGGCTCCAGGATGCTCATGGATGCCACAGGAGGCCACAGGAAACGCCAGGAGGCACCAGGAGGCCCTGGAAGGCACCTAGAAGGCAACAGGAGTGGATCCTTCGGGGCCTCTTGTGCTGTCTTGCGGCGTTCCTGGCCCGTCTGATGCAGTCGGAATCCGTATTGGATGCCTTTCTGAACCGATTTGTGGCCCTCGTGGTGCGCTCCAGGGCCGTCTTGCAGGCCATCTTGGGCGTCTCGGAGGCCTCTTGGGCCGTCTTAAGGCCCTCTTGGGGCCGTCTTGGGGGCCTCTGGGGCCGTCCTGGGGTCATCTTGGAGGCCTTTGGGGTCATCTTGAGGCATCTTGGGGGCCTCTTGGGCCGTCTCGGGCCGTCGGGAGACCCAAAAGAAGCAACAGCAGGCAAAATCTTTCAAGCACGCACGGAGAATCAATGATTTTGGTCTCTTCGGGCCCTGGCGGAGGATCTCTTGGAGACTTCTTGGGCCGTCTTGGAGGCCTCTTGGGGGCCGTCTTGGGCCGCCTTTAGGGCTTCTTGGGCGGACTTGGACGCATCTTGGACCCTCCTGGGCCGTCTTGGAGGCCATGTGGGACCATTTTGGGACGTCTTGGAGGCCATCTTGGGGCGTTTTGGATGCCTCTTGGGCCGTCTTGGGGCTCCCTGCTTGGAGCGTCACGGGGTCACCTGCGACGGTGCCAGCTCCAAACTGGGCGGTCCAGATCCCAACAGAAACCGGAGCGGTCCAGATTCCAACCACCATACATATCGATGTAAAACTGTGATATTGCATGGTCGTCTTGGCAGTGAACACCGAATGGCACCCCCTATGGACACTCACTCGGTTTTTATAGTGCGCAGGTGGGATCTAGACCGCTCCACTGCGTTATTATGCGAGTCCTAAGTACTCCAGGAAGGCCCAATATAGGCTCAAGGCACTCCAAGACGGACGTAGCGCAGGTGGGATCTAGACCGCTCCACTGCGTTATTATGCGAGTCCTAAGTACTCCAGGAAGGCCCAATATAGGCTCAAGGCACTCCAAGACGGACGTATATACGAACGCTCACGAAACGTATACGCAAGTTGTATCAAGCGTATACGAAACGCATGGAATGCGCATCCGAAAGTTAGCAAAACGCATACGGACAATATTCCGAACGCACACGGAACGCATACGCAACGCTTATGGCACACTAATGTTTTGACTCTGATCCCAGCCAAAATTGCTACAGCACGTGCATGGGGCTTGCATCTTGCATGTATATCGTACACACATAGAACGTATACGACACGCACCTGAAACACATATGAAACAAATGTGAAGCGCACATGAATCGCATACCAAGATAAATCGAAAGTGTACGAGACGCCTACGTAAACGCACAGGAAGTGCAACCGACGTGTACTTAACACACGTAATCGTAGATGACAGTTGTATGACATGTATGAGAACGTATACGAAGCGTTTACGGAACGCATACCCAACGTATATAAGACAGGGGATTCTATTAGAACGCAACGAGAAAAGTGTTAACTGTTCTTCGGCGGGTTGTCTACCATTTACACGGAGAGGGAGGAAGAGACAAGTTCATCTTACATTGTTGCGCAAAGCATGGATCAGCCGCTTGCGGCCCACCGCCCGCTCACTGCATAGCGGGTCTGTCGGGTGGGTGGGAGAGAGAGGAGAGCAGCGTGCCCAAGCCAGAAGGGGCAAGGGAGAGAGAGCGAGGGCGAGAGAGAGAGAGAGAGGGAGAGAGCAAACGATCGGCATGCCAGGAACCCAGTAGTTTCAGCGGGGGACACTGAGTGAATCATATATTGCGGGAGGATTTAATCATGTCTCATTGCATTCGTATTGCATTCCCATTGAAAACAGAGAAATGCATCAACTTTGCCGGAGGCTGTGATTGGCGCATGTGCATGTGCATTTGAATTGAGCAGGGCGAAACACACATTCAAGAATCCTGCGGGAGGCTTGTGTCGGCACACTTCCTCTTGGTTTCTCGATGGGACACACAACGAATGAATCAGGCCTCGAAAAAACAGCGAACACTTCTGCCACACTCGTCTGTCAACGCCTCCCCCCTCCCGCCCTTGTTCAGAGTGAGCGGTGGGTCTGATGAGCTGCACTTCGACCGCAGTCTCCTCCGCGCGTGCCAACTTTGAGTTTGGGGGGGAGGGGATGTGTTCGGTAATTGACTCCTTCTACCGTTGGGCGCCCCCAGTAGGCGCCTCGGCCAATCATCCTTGTGGCAGCCCTTTGAGGACCCAGAAGGGGCACTCGCGCCATCCCCCCCCCCCGATGCAGACCCCCTGGGAGGGACTTCCCTCGTGCAGCGGGTCGGCCGCTCCGGGCGAGAGAAAGTGTGGACCCCGTGGTTCTGTCGTGGACCAGGCAAGGCAGTGAACCTCAGAGGAGGAAAAGGTACCCAATACCTCTACCCTTCCCACGTTTTCTCTTTTTTGGGCCTCCTGGGCGGCCTTCGTCACCACCGCTGGATTCGCCTCGAAGTCCTGGTCAAAACTCACCCCAGGAGAGGTCTGGGGAGTACCGGTATCGGTACCTTGTGGTTCCCCCAGGACCCTTACAGTATGGAGCCCAAGCAAATTTGGGCGTCGCGTAATGGGGGGTCCATCAATCGGGGGGGGGGCAGCGAGGGCTGCAGAAAAGGCGCCCTTAGGGCTCCCAGAGGATCCCCCTAGGGCCCCATCAGCTGGCCATGGATGGAACACAAAGTGTGAGTCGCAGCCACGACGAGATCAGGAAAGCCAGCCAAAGGAGTAAGCCCGCTGTGAACATCAGTGATGGACGCATCGGAGACATCCTCATACAGCCGGACCGAAGTACAAGATCGAGGTCGGTTCGGGGAGGATACTCTCGTGTTCTTCGTGTTAGTTGGATGTTGCTGTGCATCCAGGGGAGGGTACCCTCGGATGTTATATTTGTGTTGGGCGGCGCAGTGTCTCATGCATGTTGGTGAGGGATGTTCTTCTGGGCCATGTCCGACTGTACATGGGGACGCTTGTTCTTGTGAGGTTCATACAAGTGGAGGTCATAACGTCCTTCCAGAATTTCGATCCCAGCTCGTACGATGAAGGGGGCAATGAGGAGGGAGAAAAAAGAGGACGATGAGGGAGGAATGGGGGGGGAGGGCGAAGCTGCGCAGAGAAAAGCAGAGGTGAGGAGGAGGAGGAGGAGGAGGGGGAGGAGGAGGGGGAGGGGGAGGGGGGCGAGGATGAGCAGGAGGGCGGGTGGAGGAGCAGGAGGGCAGGTGCAGGAGCAGGAGAAGGAGCTGGATGAGCAGGAGGACAGCCGGACGGCAACGCGCAGGGAGAGGGACAAATGGAGATGCCCCGACAGGCGCCCCGAGCCACCTGGGCGCTGAGGTGGGCGACGTCAAAGACAGGGAGGGTCGGATCTGCGGACACCCGTGCGGGGCAGCTGCTCATGCAAGGTCGGTCGGAGGTCGAGGGCCGAGAGGTTCTGCGACGTCTCTGGGCCTCGAGGGGGCTTCCTATGCGGCCACGGCTGGATCCGTCGCGGAGTTTTCTGGTCAGACCGCACCCTGGGACTGTCTTGGGCTTCGCTTCTTGATGGAGCCTCGCAGGCCGTTCTCTGGCACAGTGTCGTGCCGCGGTGTGCGGCGTGTGTGTAAGCCACCGCTCGAAGGCGCCGCGCCCTCACAGACACAAGGCCCCGCAGAAGGAGAGTTGTGCGTTGCCTTCGCTCCCTCCGCCTCTCTCTCTCTCTCTCTGGAGCAGGGCTGGACCTAAACGGTGTTTTTGGTGATTTTGTGGGCCGTTTTCGTTTCGACTGTGTTTTGCGGCAAAGGCGGATTCGAGACAAACGCGAGGGAAAACGAACATAGAACACGAAAACGGAACACGCCGTTCAGGTTCAGCCCTGCTCGTGAAGCCCGGCCTCGCGCGTCCCTCCCGCCCGGGGGCACTTTGTCGGCACCCGCTGCGCCGCCTGGGTGGGCCGGGGCTCTCGGGCTCACTGCGCCCGTCCGGGGGGGCGCCTGTGCGAGTGCCCCCGTGCGCTCCGTGCGGCCGCCCGTGGGCGTGTCGTGGGCGCCACGCGGCCTGCACGACTTTGCTGCACGCCGCGTGCCTCTTACGCGGCGTGCCCCACGCCGCTTGCGCGCCACGCTGCCTGACACCACACGGCCTGCACCACACCGGCTGCGCCACATCGCCCGCACCACGTGGCTCGCACCACGGCGTTTGCACCGCGCAGTTCTCACAGTCGTGCAGGCGCACCATTCGGAGCCACGTGTCTCGCACCACACTGCTCGAATCAGATCGCCTGCATCACAGAGCTGTCACCGCATGCCTTGCACCACGCAGCTTGCACCACTTGGCTTGCGACAGTCAGCTTGCACCACACAGCTAGCACCACATATTTTACACACAGAGTGCGACAACTCAGTGTTTGCGGCCTCTGCTAGCAAGCTTCTCTTATAGTCAGATGAGGCGTTCCAAACAGGGCTTTGCCTTCGAGGATCGAAGGAATGGCCATCTCTTCCTCGGCGCAAGGGCGGCAGGAGGTCGTCGGAAGTTAAACGAGGCCGCCTCCGCCGGCGGAAGTCAGCAGAAGCTCGGCGGAAGCTCGGCGGAAGCTCGGCGGAAGTCGGCGGAAGTGAAAGATGTGCCCAAAGAGATGACAACAATGTTGGGTTCAGGGTTTCCGAAATCCGCCAGGTGTCGCATCGTATGTCTCTACTGTGTATCTGCCTTCCGCGGCAAGACTCTCTCTTGCCGGCCCAGGAGCGGAAGGCCCCAGCGCTGTACACACCGCTGCCGATCTCCCGGCCAGGTCGGCCCTTGGCCCACGATCGGTGTGCATGCCTTCATGGCCTCGGCCAGGAGTGGGGGTACACAACGATCCTGTTCCCAGGATTTCGGTAGCAAATCATGGGAGCCTTGTATACCCTCGCAATTCCCTCTTCAGCGCCGATCAGCGTCGATAGGCGTTTGGGAGTCGATGAGATAGCGCCGATTTAGCATCGGCTAGCGTCGATGAGCGTCGATGTAGCGTCGATGTAGCGTCGATTTTAGCGTCGATTAGCGTCGATCTAGCGTCGATCAGCGTCGATGCGCAGGAGCCGCCAAGATGGTATGGGAGGCTCCCATGAGCTGCCACCGAGTGTTCCTGGCCAGGGCCGGTGCAGTTGCCTGCGAGGGGTCCGGGCCGCGTCGACGCGGCGGCCACCTCTGCTTTGGCGTTCGAGGCGGACCGCCGACGGTGGTCCAGAGCCAGCCAGCGCCGAGCGGAAGACGGGTGCACCCCCCGTGCACCTCGCGGGCCCCAAGGGGGGCCCCCTGGGCCCGAAGAGGGGCAGGAAGGGTGCCCGATGCTTCGCCCCCTCGCTGCGATCGCCCCAGCGAAGCCGCGGGCGAGCGAGGCGCGCCATCGGAAACGAGCCGCGGTCCTTCCGATCCTCGCGGCGTCAGAAGCCGGCGCGCCGCGTCGCCGCGACGCGGGCTCGCAGCGTCGCTGGCGACCCCCCCCCCCTCCCCTGCAGGTGACCAGGGTGCCCAGCGGCAAGAGGGGCGCGGCAGCGCCCAGGGGCGCCGCCAGCCCCAAGGGCGCCGAGAGGCCCAAGGCGGCCGTCTCCTAGCAGGCCTCGCCTCGTCTCGTCGTCCGCGGCCTCGTCGGCGGCCTCGCCCCCGCGTCGGAGAGCAGCGGCGGCAGAATCGTCAGGGTTTGGGAGAACCGCGCCGATCTTGCGGGTCGGCGCTGGACCCCCCCCGCGGCGGCGCCTTTGGCGCGGATGCAAGGAGGAGCCCGCTTTCCTTCAGGTTCAAGAAAAGTTTACTTGCATGGCGTGCGCCCTCTTCCAGCCCCCCCCCTCGCCCCTCTTCAATCGAATACGAGCGTGCAAGTGCCTTTCGACTTGCGTGGCTTCCGCACGTCAGGTCGTTTGCGGCTTGCTTCAGGTTCAGTTCCCCCCCGTCCATGCAAGTAAACGTGCCAGAGTCTATAAAAAAGGCTCGAGTCCGCGCGGACCGCCTGAAGTTTGTGTCATGCCGGCGCTACCCAGGGGCCCTCGAGCCTCGAGGGCAAAATCTCGCAGCCGTTCCTGCAGGCCCGGAGAGAGACGCATCGCCGGCACGGCTGGACCGCCGTCGGCATCCTGGCCACAGCGCACGCCTGGCCAGGCGGGTCCGCCTGCGATCCCATCCGAGACGATTCGGTTCGCTGGCTGGGCCCGCGGTTCCGATTCGGTTCGATTCTGCTCGGCTCACCAGCATCGGCCCAGGCCAGCCGGAGTCGGGCGCGGCGAGTCGGGTTCGGTTCGGTCTGGGGCGATTCATTGGCGAGCCGGTCCGTTCCCGGTCCGATCCGATCTCGCGATTCGATCTGGTCGGCCTGCCTGGCCAGGTCCAGGGCTTGAGCTGTGAGGGCTGGCACGAAGAAAAGGGGTCCTGAATTAGAGGGAGGCCGTGGAAAATGGCACAGAGCTCACTCACTCATGGCGGTCGATCGAGTCGTGCAGCCACCTCTCCTCCTCCTCCTCCTCCTCCTCCTCCTCCTCCTCCTCCTCCTCCAGCTCCAGAGCACATAGACTCTACGTGCTCTGTACGTAGGGTGCCCGCAGGATGCACGTGCTCTGTACGTGCTCTGAGCAGGATGTGCTTCTGCGCCGTCGAGGCACATCCTGCGCACGTGGTGGCGTCGCATTGGAGTCCCAGGTGCTTGGCATCGCTCGGACGTGTGCATTTTTCCTTCGGCTAGGACATCGAGGAGCATCCTTGATCATTTGGCGAAAAAACCACGCACGAAACCGAAAAAAAACAGGGAATGGACGTCCGAGCGATGGCCAGTGTGGGCACAGCAGTTGCTTGCTTCGGACCGACCCGTCTCCCGTGTGCCAGCCAGCGAGGCCAGCAACGGCAGCGGGGTCAAGACCGCGGCCGCGTGGGGAGTGTGAGCGCGTGAGCGCTGCGGCTAGTGCTTCCGCTGCGCGAGTGGCACAGCGCGGGTATTCTCACCACATCATGTTTTTTTGGTTCAGGCAAACGCTGCTCGGAATTGTCCTGTGTTCAATCGCGCCCGCGTCAAGACGTGAGGCGCCGTTCTTGTGAAGACTTTCTGCTGGTGGTCAGGATGGCCCTACTTGCTTTCGCGCCTTATGTTTCGTGATCAGTTTGATAATCATGTGTTGGAGAATCGTCGCCACGACTGGGCGCGGCTGAGAAACAATACCCGAGATGGCACACGGCAGGATGTAGGTACAAAGGTACATGTTAGACCAGCTGCTGGTCGGGCGGTGAACTAGTGCATTTGTTTCTGCTATGACGTGCGTGAGCGAGCAGGGAGTACATCTCGAGCCACCGGTGGCGTGAATTTGCTATTGTACCTTTACGCCCAGCACCTGTTTCACCTCGTTTGCACTTCGCGCTGCACTCCCGCTGTGCTTCCGCTGCCTGAATAAAGAAGCTGACGTCTGACTCGGCCACATTGCCCATCGCGCATCCTCCTCCTTCTCCTCGCCATCATTCTCATCGTTCGCCCCCCCTTCTGCACCGTCGTCCTATCCGTTTTTGAAGACAGGGCGGCGCCCGTCTCATACGCGCGCACCCTTTGGACTGTGGGTGACGCAACACCGTATTGCACAGCCCCGGCCTGGGCCTGGAGGCGTCCCGCTGCCGCTGCTGCCTTTTCGGCCCGTCTGCTATCCCAGCAATTTCACTGCCTCTGACAGTGCGGCGGGGGTCCCCAGAAGCGGGCCCCGCGCCCCCCCTTCGCCTGATCACCTGGCCCGAGAGCGTTGAAAGAGCTCGCCCCCATCGTCCCCGTCCTCTTTCTGTCCCTTCTCCTCCCGACTTCCCCCCCCCCCGCCCCAGACGTCGGACCTCCTTGACAAAGCCACCGAGGTCGCCACTTTTGCAACGTTCCGGGGCCTACGGCAGCCTCACAGATCGATCCGGCTCGAAGGGCGCCGGCCAGAGATGGGGTCGAGGGCACTCTCTGCGAAGCGAATCCCTTGCTCATGTACTGCACCCTTTCTCACTCCCCTCTTTCAACGGAAGGGGGCGTCCAGGGGTCTGAGCGGGAGCCTGTTTTCTGCGCATCCCTTTGCGATGACGGGCATTACTGAAGGGGCGGGAGGGGGATGGGGAAGGTAACGACACGATTTGCGCCGGTGCCGTCTCGGGACTAGCTACCCGTAGCCGCAGCGGGGGCGGGGGGTCGGGGGCGGCCCTCGTAGCGTGCGTTGTTTCGAACAGCAAAAACTAGCTCCAGGGGGTTGTGTTCTGGTTTCAGGCTTCCTGCCGCACCCCGTCGCGCGTCCCGTCCTCCCCGGTCCGCTCCCTCCCGTTCCTGACCCGCCTCTTGAGCGGTGCTCTCGGACCCCTCGTGGACCGTCTTGGAGGCCTCTCGGGGTGCCTCGAGGGCATCGTGGGCCATCTTCGGGCCATCCCGGAGGCACGCGGGCCCCTCTTGGAAGCGATGCTTACGGAGTGCCGAGGGCCGCTTGGGGAGGCCACGTCGGGGCCCCGGCACACCCGCGAGTCTTCCCTGCCCGTGCGGCACGACGTGCGGGGCCAGGGCGGGGCCCCGCCGCCAAGGGGAGGGGGGGCTCGATCCCCCCTCCCCCCCACACACGCACAGACACACAGACACACAGACACACAGACACACAGACACACAGACACAGACACACAGACACACAGACACACAGACACACAGACACACACACACACACTCACACACACACACACACACACACACGCACGCACGCACACACGCATACACATGCTTGATGCTCGCGCGCAAACTGTGGCGAGTGCAGCGCACCCCCGCCCCTGCGTGCTTCACCCAGCCCGAGCGGTACCGTTCCCCGCCCCACGCTCCCCTGGGTAACGACACTTTCAAAGCGGGATGGTCGTCGTTTTCTTATTCATTGTTTCGCCGATCGGCGTGGGCGGCCCTCGCACCCCCTCCCCCCCCGCCCCCGCCCATGGAGTAGATCTTGGCTGTTTTGGGCGCCTGTTTCAGGCAGGTGGGGTCTCCCCCGTGGGACGCACGGATGCAAACAGTAGAGTCGCGTTAAGCAGAGGTCCGGAGCCAGACCCCCCCCCCTTCCGCCCAGAGTCGAAGCCGCCGAGTAAGAAGACGCTCGCACGCGGGATGCAGGTCCCGCTTCCTGCAGCACCCTTTTCCTCAAGGCCAAGTTCTGTGGCAGATGTGCAGGCAGGCCTTTGGCACACCCTCGTCTTCCTGAGTCGGCCGCACGGGGTCATCACCCCTCGCCTCATTCTCGCCATCAGCTGTTGCCGAGAGCACCCTGAGCACCCTCGCTTCCTCGGGTGGACCCCTTCAGTCGACTACACTAAACCTTCGGCGGGGTGACCTTTAATGCGGGGCCATTGGGGTCCCCTGATCGCTGAGTGTGATACGATGGCAGCGGCTTGCGCGCTCAGATTTGGTCCCCCCCCGCCCACCTGAGGACGCGCACCACAAGTCTCTCCTGCCTAGAGTCACTCTTGCGTTTAGCCGACTCATTCGCAGCTGCCTCTCATGACAGTCTTTGGATCGCCTCCACAGTTTGTCGTCTCGACCGCTCGCCAGCATGAACAGCACAGCTCTTGCGCGTGGTAGTTGGCAGGAGGTCCGGGCGGGCTCCGTCACGCTCGAGATGCGGAAGCATTTTTGTTTTTGCGGGGTGGTGTGGGGACAAGCGAGCCGGGAATCTAGGAGACGTGTAGAAGTTCCTTGCCTCTGCCTCACCGAGCTACGCCGACGTCGAGAATCCCTTCGTGCGCGCATTTGCATTTAGGGCCGCAAGTGGACAGACAGGAGATGTTGCCTCGTGCTCTGCTCTGCCGTTGGCTCCGTCCGTGTCCATGTCCAACTTGATTCACGCCGCGCGCGTTCCTTCACAATCCCCTGGTAATCATCGGATCTTCACGCTGTCATGTTTTGGATTGTGTACTCGTCCGCCTACCCTCCGCTAAGCTGGCTACCTCCATGTCGGGCGACGACGCAGCGTACGACATGGCGATGGAGGTTCTTCCACTGCGGGCAAATCAGAATCGGGGGGTCTTGCAGTGGGCATGGGGGTGCGGGGGGTAGGTGTTAGTCGCCAGGAGGTGGACTTCGAGGGATGAGTGCGCGTTGGGGCATCAGTTCGCCCACGGGCACCTGAACCACCAGATCGGGAATGAGTGAGTCTGGCCTAATCAGGAGGAGAAGGAGGCGCAGCAGCAGCAGCAGCAGCAGAGGGAGGAGGAACAGCAGCCTCAGCAGCATCATTACCAGGATCATGATAAGGATCATAATCAGCGATATCAGCAGAGACAGGCGGGATCAGAAGGGTCAGCAGAAGGAGGCGGAGCACGAGGATCGGGGGAGGAGAATCAGCGGATTGCCACAGTTCGGCGTTTGCTTACAGCTTGGTGCAAAGAGTGCCCGAGTGCGACTCCGAGTGCACATACTATCTCATATGACCGAGTGTGGAGCTGATTTGTCTGAGCGCCGAATTCTCCTCTTTCGCGCTCTCTCCGTGCTGGCAAGCACGTTTTCTGACACCGAGTTCGCGCGCGGGGGCCGCCACATCTGCCGCGGCTCTCATCAGGCCCATGCTGGGGTAGAGGCGGCGAAGGTAGATGGGGGAGGGCGATGACGCGGACGAGGAGAAGAAGTCCCGTGAGCAGTCGAAGGAGGAGCAGGAAGAGACATATAGCAATATTAGAAGTGACGTGCGAGAGGGAGCAGGAGTGTGAGACCGCCCTGTCGGCGGTGTGCGAATCTGGTGGGCACTGGCCATAGCAGGACGTCTTTTGCGCCGCGCGTTGAAGCGCCTCACGCCACAGATCGCGGCATCAGCGGTATCAGCACATCTGCAGTGCAAGCTACCAGATCAAGCGAGAATCGATAATATGCCAGAATGGAGAAAGGAACTTGCCACGGTCGCGAATCGCATGTATGCAATTCTTGTGTGCGTGTGAGAGACAAGACAGCAGGATCTTTCGTATCGGCAGGCAGACGTGGCGTTCCAATCGCATCGATCTGCAGGAGTGCATCGATTTGTTGGCTCTCGCGAAGCGGGGCAAGTGGCTCTGATTTTTCCCGGCCATCGTGTGGCGTTGGGTCCTCGTTTAAAGAGAGCGCCCCGCATCCTCTCCCCTCCTCTGCTTTCCTCCTCCCTGCTCCTCCCGTCCCTGCCTCTGCTCTCCGCATGTCCCCATCGCTTTCATCATCGTCAGCGTCATATCGGGCGTTCCAAACAGGGCCTTGCCTTCGATGATTGAAGGAGTTGTCATTTCTTCCTCGGCGGAAGGTGGCAGAAGGACGGCGGAAGGTCGGCGCCTCCGCCGGCGGAAGCCGGCGGCAGGGCGGCGGAAGGTGGCGGAAGTAAAACATGCGCCCCCAACAGATAATAACATGTCTGGGGTTTCCGGAACCCGCCATCTAGCGTCATCAGCATCACTTTCATCATCACCATATCTTCATCGTCGTTGTCATCCTCGTCATCATTGCCACACCCCTCACATGTTTCGCGGCCACAGGGAGCTTTACCGAAGCCCCCAGGACGAGCGCGGTTTCGCATGTGGTTCTTACCCATTTTGGCACACCCTCACACGCTTCGTGGCCCCACAGGGAGCTCCTGTGTAGCCCTCAGGGGCGGTTTCGCATGCGGTTCCCAGCTGATCTCCGCACACCTCTCACAAACATTTCGTGGCCCAATAGGAAGCTACACCGGAGCTCCCAGGATGGGGGTTCGCATGCGGTTCTTAACCGTTTCGGCGCACCTCTCACACACTTCGTGGCCTCACGGGGAGCTCAACCAGCCCAACCTTCACACGTTTCGTGCCCCCCGAGGGAGCTCCACCGAAGCCCCAAGGAGGGTGGGTTCGCATACGATTCTTACCCTTGTCGGTGCACCCACAGTGATATCCACCGAAGCCCCAAGAAGGGTTATTTCGCATGCGGCTCTTACCCATTTCGGCACACATCTCAAACGCTTCGCGGCATTAGGGGGCTCCACTGAAGCCCCCAGGAGGGGCCTTTCGCATGTGGTTCTTCTTCAGTTTGGCACACAACATCGGCACACACCTAACACGCTCCGTGGCCCCATACAGTTCTCAACGAAGCCCCCACGAGGAGGGTTTCGCATGCGGCGACAGGAGGTGCGGAGGGCGAACGGGCATATTCGGAGGGAGGTAGTGAGAGGCGTCCCGAATGCGACATTCCAGAAATGGCCTCGTTTTCGAAGGGTCGAGGGGTTGTCTGCTCTTTCCCAGCGGGAGGGCGGAGGGAGTACAGCCTGCGGCGTGTCAACCAGCGGCGGCCGGCGGAACCAATTATTTTGCTTCCAGGAGATGTAACTAGACCCTTTAGGGCCCAGCTGTTTTTTTGTTCGAAGGGCAGAGTTTGAAGGGCAGGGGTGGCGATGCTCCGAGGTTCTGTTCGACATCGAGATGCTCAGCCGTGCCCGCATCGTGGTGGGCACGCTCGCGTCGCAGGCACAGGGTGCGGGGGGGGGGGGGTGTTGCTTTGTGTCTCACACTGGTGTCGTTTTGGGTGGAAGGCTGCCGCCTCCCGGTTTTCAGTTCCTGACTGGCGCGGGTCGGGGATCTGGTTCTGGCTCGTCAGTTCGTGCATGGGGTCCGTTCGACGGGCATTTCTACGTGCACGACGCTGGTGCTCTGATGCGCATTCGTGGAGCTTCCACCGGGATCAAGCACGCACGTCCCCGTCACGCGGGGTCCGGTGAGGGTCTGACGGCGAGCGAGGGGGAGAAGTGAGAAGGAGAAGGCTTTCTCAGAAGGCGGCGGGACTTCTCAGAAGCCCTCGCGCCTTCTGAGAAGTTGTTGTTCCGTGTTCGAGGAAGGCTCAGAAAACTTCTCAGAAGGCCAGGGGACTCCCGAGCCTTGTGAGAAGGCCTTCTCCTTCTTACCTCCTCCCCCTCGCTCGCCACCTCCCCCTCGCTCGCCACCGAAGTTAATAGATCAGCGATGGACCAGTGCCCTCAATCCGTCAGCTCGGCGGCGTCATGCCCAGAAGCTGGAAGCTGAACTTACACGACGCGGCTGGCCTGGGCGAGAGCTGGATACACGTGTGGTCAGAGGCTCCTCGCGCCCGGCCGTGCTAGTGCCGCGTGTGCCAGATGCTCGCATGTGTGTGTGTGTGTGTGTTTGTGCGTGTGCGTGTGTTCAGCGCGTGGCCTCTGGATGCTCGATATGTGCATCCAGCCATGTGTGCTTCCAGCTTCCTCGCGCACGATTTGCAGACTCGAGGGCACGAATGCTTTCCGCATCGAGCGGCCCAGCCGCTCCTTTGCTCAGCACCGCAGGGTCCGACACCGGAGCCCAAAGTAGACTCTCAGAGCCTCTGGGATCTGGAGGTGCGTCGCGAAAGGTCACGCGGGATAGGCCAGGCCGAATCTCGTGGAACAGTCCCAGGGTGCCGCGCTCTGCGTGGGCGGCCCGAGCGAAGGTGTACAGTCGCACGGGTACTGTGCTGAAACATGTGGTCAGAGCCCCGAATCATCAGGGGTGACTCGGGTCAGGGCCAACTCGGGCTCCTTTTCCGGGAATCCAAGCCCGAGTTACCCCGGACCCGAGGTACCCCGGATAACTCGGGCGTCCAATGTGGGCAGCTGTGGGCACATGGGTGCGTGGACATCTCTCACCACCCACCAAACCACCCCAACCCAACCCGAAGGCCCAAATTTATCCTCGATTTCCAGTGGGGGGGGGGTCGGGGAACGTCGAAAAAACACATGGTATCCGTACCCCCCCCAACCCGAAATTCGGGTCAAATTCGGGCCTTCGGGTTGGGTTGGGGTGGTCTGGTAGGTAGTCAATCTCGAGTGGCTCATCCGTGAGGCCCGAGGCCAACGCAGGCCTCTCCTGCCAGACCAGCCGTGCACCAGCGGCCGGCGAACCACTGCCAGGCAACACGCGGCAGGAGCGCCGGGGCCCGGCGAGGCCTCGCCACGCCGGGCGCCACGTGTACGGCTGCTGGGCCGTGCGCGAGCCGCCCGCGTGCTCGCTCGCTGAGTGCCCCTGGGAGACGCGGGGGCCCCGAGATCCGTCTTCGCGAGCAGAGGCGTCCGATCCTCGAGGAAATGCGCGGCCAGGGCTCTCTCGAGCTCACGTTGCCGCGGCGTCCCCTGAGCCCATGGTCGATCTCCGAGGGCCCCGGAACCCGCCGCTGGACGCAAACGCCAACTGTGGGAACAAAGTGTGCGGCGTCCCCAGGCCGCACGCGGCCGTACGACCGGCCCGGGGCAGGAGGGGCCGCACGTTGCGCGCGAGCTGGCCGCGCGCGGCCGTACGACCGGCCCGGGGCAGGAGGGCCGGCCACGCGGGGTCTCAGGGGCAACGATCAGGGGGGGATGGGCACAGGGGGGGATGCATCGACCCCGAATCGCCCATTGATCGCCGATAGGGGCCCGATAGCACCAACCTGCCCAGGGAGGTGCGGATTCACTACCGGGGGCTTATCGCCGATTCCAGGTCGATGCATCCCCCCCTATGCTAGTCCCCCCCTTATCGTTGCCCCCCGGGGTCTCTCGGCGGCGAGCTAGGGGGGGAAACGAGAAGGAGAGGGCCATCTCAGAAGGCGGCGGGACTTCTCAGAAGCCCTCCTCGCGCCTTCTGAGACATTTTTTATCCCGTCTTCGGGGAAGGCTCGGAAAACTTTTCAGAAGGCCGCGGGGACTTCCGAAGCTTCTGAGAAGGCTCTCTTCTTCTTCTTCTTCTCGCTTCTCGCTTCCCCCCCTCGCTCGCCGCCTACTCTCGCCATGGGGGAAGCGGGGTTCTGAGGGAAACGGGTCCTGAGGTTCTTCGCCTTTTTCGGACCCCCGGGGCCCTCCACGGGGCCCCGGGGCTGTAAGAGAACGACTCGGGAGGAGGAGCTTGTTTCGAGGGGAGCCCCAGAGGCCAGGACCCGTTTCCCTCGGGACCTGGCTCCCCCATGCTAAGGTTCAAGCGGTGGCGAGGCTTCCTGGCTTGTGTGCACTCATGGGAGGATCATGAGACAACCCAGACCCCGACCATTGGCGTTTACCAAACGGCCCTGTTACTAAACAGCGCTGCCCTGTTCGATTCCTTCCTTGGGTGCGTTTACTAGTCGGTTTCGCTTGTCGGGGTAGTTACTGCGGGGTGGATTTGTTGCCCTCAGCCAGAAACTATTGACATATGAGCTGCTTATGGTTTGCACAGAATTTTCTCAGAGCAATTATGGTTGAGGCCGTCTCGATTTCATACATCTGTTTCATGTAATGAGAACCGTGGTCTTGCTATAAGAGCATGTTTTGTTATCTGAGCATTTTGTGCTAGGCCAACAGGCTATAGGAATGCTGGGACGGTCGGTCCCTGCTCAATGGATAACACGTCAGTTCGGCGGCAAATCCCGAACCCTACCCTCGCCGATCAACGATTCAGGCAGCTCGATGGACGGCGGGGTATGATTCGGAATGCGTCGAACGCGTGGCGAAGTCCGAACCCTACCCATGCCTCCTATCGATTCAGGAGAATCGATGGTTGGTGGGGTATAGGACTCGGATGTCGTTTGGCGCGCGCGCACGGGACCCCGGAATCCTGGAGTCTCCCGCATTTTTCTTACACCAGGCGTGCTCGCCAAAATTGGAGACAGGTTTTATTTCCTGGCGACAACGGGCGTAACCGGAGGGAGGCGGGGGGGGGGCCGGTCACGTCGCGATTCGCGTCGGCGCCGCCTGGGAGTGCTTCGGAACTTCTAATCCTTAGACGGCGTCGGCGCGAATCGTGACGTGACCATGGAGGGGCGGTCGGAGGGTCACGGGCAATATCGAACATACTAAGTAGACACGGGCTCTGGGCTCTGACGCACCCGGGCTGCTGCTAGTGCTGCTCGACGCGTCGTGCTAGTATCCCACGTCACCGCGGACAGAAATAATCGTTCAGATTCGGGCCCCGAGGGCCCTCGCAGATCGATCCAGCTCGAGAGTTGCCGCAGCAGGATGTGGTCGAGGGCTCTGGCTGTGATCCCTCACGATGTTGGACCCTTTTCGGGACGTCAGGGGGTGCCCTCGCGCGCAGCGGCGCTTGCGCCACGATGGCAGGGCCCATTTCGATTCGATCGATCCGATTCGATGTCGAGTTCAACCAGCTCGAGTCGATTCGATGTCAATTTCCTGGTAGTCCGATGCGGCCCCATGCTGGCGCTCAGCGCAGTGGCGTATCCAGGCGCAGCCGATTCGATTCGACTTCGATTCCCAACCGAGTTCGATCATTCCCAGACCCCCGACGTCATGATTTTTTCTCATAACGTCGACTCCCGAGGTCTCGCCCGATTCCCCGGACCGGTTTTTCGTCCCGAGTCGGTTTTGGACGGTCCCGAGGCCCAGTCAGGGCCCCGAGAGGCCGAACATGGCGAACAACTTCCCGTCGCGATTGTTTCATTCTTCGATGGGGTTTGGGTTTGACGCCGACTGATCCTGCGATGGTCAGACGGTGCGCGAGCCTATCGCCGCTCTCCCTTGGCCGGGCCGCCGCGAGGTCACGCGGGTGGCGTGCAGCCTGGGCTCGGCGCGCGGCACGCTCTGGCGCGCGGTGGCGCTGGACATCGCCCGCGGTGGTCCCGCCCGTCGCCGACCCCTCGCGCAGAGGCGCCGCGGAGAGGCCACGACAGGCGTTCGAGGCTCAGCTGCCCTGGGAAAGTAATGCAACTTTGGCCGTCGAGCGGGTTGTTCCCGTCGCCTTCGCTTTTGTTCTCAGCTGTTGGGGCCGCCTGGAGCCGTTTCTTCGGACCCCGTGGCCCTCAGGCACGGACCCGGAATGAACAGCCTACCCCCCGTGAGTTCCCCCGGCGGTTCTTCTGCACGACTTGCAGCAGTTGCACTCCTCATTGTCCCAGGGGGGTGCAGGCTGGCTTCCATGGGCTGCAGCGCCTCGTCGCCAGCGTTCCGGGGGTGCCGGATCACCTCATGGGCGGCTGCCCCGAGCCCCGAGCTCCGGCCCCGGACGGCGGCGCGTCTACTATTATGATGCTCTACCGAAGCTTGGGGGTTTTCACGTGTCGGGCCCTGGGAGGCGGGACTCTCGTTCGACACCGTTTCGATACTTTTCGGGTGCTCGAGACTATTTCTGGGATGTGCCCTTGAGTACGATGGGATCGACATAAGTTCCAGACCCTTGACGTCATGTTTTTTTTTTTTTTTTGCAACGTCAACCCAACTCTCGCCAACCTAACTCTCGCCCGGGGCCGCTCCTGCGTGAGGTCGTTTTGTTGTTGCTGCCACGCCGCGGGCCTCGGGTGCCTGCAGGCAGGTCGCCCGCGGGGGCGCGGAGAGAGGGCCGCGCTTAGCTTCGCGCACCGCGGCCTCTGGGCCAGAGAGGCGCCCTCTCGGGGGGGGGGGGGGCGGCACGAGGGCGCGAGGATCAGCCGCCTGTCGCGGAGCACGAAGCGTGCACGAAGCGTGAACCTAGACCCCCTCGAGCCATTGAAAAATCTCGGCGGGAGGTTTGTCGTCATTTTCGGCCTCTCGGGGCCCTTAGCGAGCCTCGGGACCGTCAAACAACGATTCGGGATGACAAACCGGTTCCGGGGAATAGGTTCAGACCTCTGGGGGTCGACGCAATGAAACAATCATGACGTCGGGGGTCTGGGTGTAGGGTGCACTGGTGGATCAAGCCGGCACAAACGGCTCTGCTGAGAGGGCTCAATGATGTTTGTTTGCTGTGGCGCCGACGCGGGATTCTCCCGACGCCAGATGTCGGGAAAGGGGGCCCTGGGGGGGGCACAGGGCAGTCGCGAGTGCCATGGCCAGGGCCCAAAGTTGACAACCCCGAGCGCCACTGGTCTGGCAGGGCCTGGACGCGTGTGGGGCGCTGCTCCCAGACCCCCGGCGTCATGATTTTTTCATTACGTCGACCCCCACAGGTCTGAACCTATTCCCGAGTCGTTTTGTTGACGGTCCCGAGGCCCGGGAAGGGCCCCCAAGGGCCGAAAATCTTGAAAAACCTCCCGTCGTGAGTTTTCCATTGCTCGAGGGGGTCTGGGTGTGGGGCGCTGCCTGTTGGCCGTGTGGCCCCCCCATCGCGGGATCACCGCGGCTCGTCGCCCTGCTGCCGCACATGCAGAGCCTGTTCGCCCAGTGGGGAGGCGCCGGGCCGCCTTTCCCGTGCGTGCCGCCGGGGGGCGGGCGGGTCTGGAGCTGGCTGTCGGATCCAGTCGGGCCGCGGGCCGCGGGCGAACGAGCCCAGACCCCCTCGAGCAACGAAAAGACTCACGACGGGAGGTGTTTCGCTATATTTTCGGCCTCTGGGGGGGACCTTGCCGGGCCTCAGGACCGTCAAACAACGACTCGGGACGGAACACCGGCTCCGGGGAACGGGTCGAGACCTCGGGGGGCTCGACGCAGTGAACAAAATCATGACCTCGGGGGTCGGGGGAGGGAGGCTCGTCGTGTTCTCGCCGGTGCGGTTCTCCCCTGCTCCCCGCCGCTCCCCGCATTCGTCTCCCCTTTGCCCCCGTTCGTGACCGTGCACCCTCGCTCGCAGCGAGGGCCATCTGGCTGGCGGTCAGACCTGGAAAGACTTTGGCGCCGTGGCGGTTGCTTTGTGGCTGCGCGGGGTCCAATCATACCGTGCAACCGTACCGATGCGGAGGGCCCCAGGACTCTCGTCCGTCGAAGATTGCCTTGAGCGTCTGTCGAAGAAGAAGAAGAAGAAGCGTCTTCAGGACGGGATTCCGCGACCTGAACGGATCGCCCCAGCCCGCAAGGTTGGTGAAACGGCGGAGGGTTGATATGTCATTTCGGGGTAAAGCACTGCCATTGAGCGGTCAGTCAGGGGATGCGAATTTTCGGCTCAGGCTGGCAGACCTTGCTGCTGCTTGCGGCATCCCCAACCGCCCAAGTAAGAGTGGACCTAAGCAAGTCATCGTGTCTCGACACAGGCTGCTTCTGCCGCAGAGGGAGGACGGTGGAGGACTCAATGATCAGCCCCCCTCTGGCTGCCGCACTGTGCCCTCCCCAGACCCCAGGCGTCGTGATTTTCCCCTCGAGGTTGAGTAGGTCACCACCCCATGAGCGCCTTCATCATAAGTCGTTGCTGGACGGTCCCCAGGGCCCTGGGTGAGGGCCCGCAGAGCCCGAAAGTTATACCATAAGGATGTTTTAGCCTGCGTGGGCCCCTAACACAATGCGTTATCACGCTGTGGAGGTGGCAGCTATGCAGTATAGGCTATGTCGTGTAAGCCATGTGGTGCGAGCTATGAAAGTAAAACCTGTGCGGTCTTAGCTACGCACGCGGTGTGATCTCTATGTCGTGTGTGCCATGTGGTGTGAGCGATGGAGGTGACAGCCATGCAGTCTGAACCATGTGGTCGTAAGCTGTGCGGTGTGTGGCCGGATGTGAAAGCTGTGCGGTCCAAGTTCTGTGGCCTAAGCCATGCAGTGTCAGCTCTGTGCGGTGCAAGCTGTGTGGCGTAAGCCAGATCGCGCGGGCGACCTGGCGTGAGCTCAGCGCACGGGGTGCCCACGCAGGCGGCACGGGGCGGCCACGTGGCGCAACCTCGGCGAACCACCCCCCGCGCACGGGGCGCCCACGAGCGCCCACGCCGGCGGCACGGGCAGCAGCGCGGCCCAACCTCGGCAACCCCCCAGCGCACGGGGCGCCTCCCGAGTGCCCTCGAGGCGGCACGGGCGGCCACGTGGCGAGACCTCGGCAGAATTCCCCAGCGCATGGGGCGCCTGCGAGGCGCCCCGCGGGGCGGGACGGACGGCGACCTGGCAGTCATTTGGCACACCCGTCCACCTACCCCAGAAGCCCAGCTAAGAGCCCAAGCACTGTTCGGGGGAAGCAAAGCGCGTGCCATGATTTCGCTGACGACGCGGCGAGGTCGTTGGCTTTGGGATTCTAGCTCGGGTCTCCCGGCGGCCGTTCGGCACGATTCGGGCACCCCACGACGAAGGGCAGCTGCTGGAAAGGGTCCGAGGAGGAGGAGGAGGAGGAGGAGGAGGAGGAGGAGGAGGAGGAGGAGGAGGAGGAGGAGGGGCAGGCGGGAAGCTGGATCGGACCCCTCTCCACAGAGCCAGGTCCGAGCAGAAGGCAGACCGGGGGGGGGGGGGTCGCCACGGCGCGCTGAGGCCTGCCTGGGCCTGTCCCGCGCCCACCCTGCCAGGCTTGCCCGGGTGGAAGCCTTGAGCTCCACCGCAAGCTGGAGTGTTTGGCGTTCAGTGGCCGCCAGCGGCGAATAGGGAGTGATTGGTGGACGGTCGGCGCGGGGCGTGTGCCAAGGGCTCCCACGAGGGCGCGAAGTTATTCGCGTTTCGCGCTTCGCGGTCCTCGTTCCTTCTCCCCCCTCCTCCTCGTCCTCCTTTTCTCCCTTTGGGGGGGCGGCGCGAGAGCGCGAAGTTATTCGCGCTTCGCGCTTCGCGGAGCGCGAAGCGCGAAGTTGGGAGCCCTTGTGTGCCGCCGTCTGCCGCTGCCGTCGCTTGCCGCTCGCTGCCGCCGTTTGCCGCCATCTGCCGCTGCTCCGCCACCACCTCTTGACTCCAGCCAACAACCCGCGTAAGAAGGATTTGGGACCTTCCAAGGTTACCCCTGCATCCTTCCCCTTCGGCCCGTCCATGGCCGCTTTCGCTGCCAGCGCCCCGTTCGTAAAGTGTCGACGTGGCCTTCCACCAAGGCCCCTGCATATCGCGCTTCCCCAAATATTCGGGTTGACTGTAGGGGGTGCTTGGTGCACGGCCGGCGCGGACCGTGTGGTCGCCATATGCCGCTTTGGTCGCTTGCCGTTAGTTACCGCCGTGTGCCCCTGTGTTACGCTGACCCGCCAACACCTGGACCCTTGACCAAGGCAGGCATCCATAAAAAGCGCTGGCTGCCGCCGCTTGCCGCCGCGTGCCGCTGATTTTCGGAGGCCTAGAGGTTGACACCAACACCAAGATCTGCGGTGTGCCTCCACCGAGGGAAGATGCTCCCGATCTCGGCGATGGTGTTCCTAAGTGGCCGAACTATCACCACCAATTCCGAAATCTAGGAGCATCTTACCCCTGTGGAGGCACCCCCCTGTGTTGGTGTTGATGCTCATTTCCAGGCCTCCAAGATCCGCTAACATCTCGACCCTTGACCACGGCAGGCTTCCATCCGATTCGAACAAAAAACGAACGCAATTTGCGCCGCCCCGCCGCAGCCCGCCGATAGGGACCCCGGCGCTCCTCGCCGTCGTCGTCGTCGTCGTCGTCGTCGTCGTCGTCGTCGTCGTCGTCGTCGTCGTCGTCGTCGTCGTCGTTCGCCTCTCGCGGCCCGCCTCCCCAAAAAGGGGCTCCGCCGCCTCCTGTTTGGCCGCCCGCCCGCGGGGGGCGTGAAGAGGCGCGCCAAAAGGAGGAGGAGGAGGAGGGGGAGGAGGAGGAGGAGGAGGAGGAGGAGGAGGAGGAGGAGGAGGAGGAGGAGGACGGGGACGAGGACGAGTAGGGAGGAGGAGGAGTGAGGAGGGAGGAGGAGAAGGGGGAGGAGGAGGGATGATTGAGGAGGGAGGAGGGAGGAGGGAGGAGGAGGGGGAGGGGGAGGGGGAGGGGAGGAGGAGGATGAGGAGGAGGAGGAGGAGGAGGAGGAGGAGGGAGAGGAGGAGAGGAAGGGAGAGGAAGAGGATGAGGAGGAGGAGGAGGAGGGAGGTGGAGGAGGTGAGAGGAGGAGGAGGAGGAGGAGTTGGAGGAGGAGGAGGAGGAAGAGGAGGAGAGAGGAGAGGAGGAGGAGGAGGAGTGGGGAGGGGGAGGGAGGGAGGGGGAGGGTGAGGAGGAGGGAGGAGGAGGAGGAGGAGGGAGGAGGGGGAGGGAGGAGGGAGAGGAGGAGGAGAGGAGGAGGAGGAGGAGGAGGAGAAGAGGAAGAGGAAGAGGAAGAGGGGGAGAGATTAGGAGGAGGAGGAGGAGGAGGAGAGAGGAGGAGGATGAGGAGGAGGAGGGAGGAGGGAGGACGGGGGCGCGGAGGCGCCCGCGTGCGCCGAAGGGCCGCGGCCTGCGTGCGCCGAGGGGGGCCACGGCCTCGAGCCGCAGAGGGTGCCCTCCCGGGGCGGATGGCCTCGCCCCTCGAGGCGCCCAGGGGCCCCCTCGAGGGCGAGGAGCCCAGACCCCATCGAGGAGCGAGAAAATCACGAGGAGTGATAAAATCACGAAAATCACGCGGAGTGAAAAAAGCGAGGAGTGAGAGTGGCGAGGTCTTTCGCCACGTTCGGCCTCTGCGGGCCCTTACCGGGGGCCTCGGGGCCGTCAACCAAACGACCCGGGATGACAGGCCGGTCCCGGGGAATAGGTCGAGACCTCGGGGGGTCGACGTCACGAACAAATCACGACGTCGGGGGTCTGGGAGAGAGAGGCACGGCTCGGAGGAGGGAAGGGCACAGCCAAAACTTCGTGTAGGGACGCACGGATGTCCTTTTAGGGTGCCCCTGCGTCCTTGTCTCTGCGGCCCGTCCTGCGCGGTCCTCACTGGCCAGCCCTTCCTGGTGTTGGCAGTCCCGCCGCCCAACAAGTGCCAGCTTCGGGGTCCAGGGCGGCCCCGGCGTCCTCGTCGCCCGTGCTTGCTGTGGACTTCGGCTGCGCTCCCAGCCTCGAGCGAAACGCGAGGGGGCCGCACAGCCCTCCCGGGCGAGCAGTTTTCAGACTCCCCCCCCCCCCCAACGGATCCGCAGCGGGGTGCCATCCGAGGGGGAGAGGGCCTCGCCCTCGAGGCGTCCAGGAACCCCCCTCGAGGGCGAGGAGGGAGGCACGGCTCGGAGGAGGGAGAGGTATTCCCAACGCTTCGAAGGCAAAGGGACCCAGAACCCCCTCGAGCAGTGACAACAATCACAACGGGAGGTTTTCTACAGTTTTTGGCCCCTCGGGGCCCCTTCCGGGCCTCGGGACCGTCAAAAAACGACGTGGGATGAAAAACCGGTCCCAGGGAATAGGTCGAGACCTCGGGGGATCGACGCAATGAAAAAATCATGATGTCGGGGGTCTGGGGGAGGAGGTCACAACCCTCCCAGGCGAGCAGTTTTAGACCCCCCAAGACCAGCCACGAGAGGGCGGCGTCTTGCCCCGACCACACTGGAACTTTCCAAGACAGCTCAAATCAGACCCGCCCAAAATCGGACCACCATCCGGCTGAAAGAAAGGATGCCCGCCCAAGAGATGCCATCTTGGGGGGCTCGGTTTCTTCCAGGAACCGCCGCATGGGCGCGAGGTCGCGAGGGCGCGGGGATAATTAACGGCGTGCTGTTGGGCGCGAGGGCGCGAAGTCGGGGACCCCTTCGGGGACCCCTTCGATCCGATCGATCCGATCTCTGTGTCGCCCGGCCCGATCCGGTTTGCTTCCATTGTCCCAAATGCGGCCCGTGCTCGCATGGCATTGGCATCCTGGCGCAGCCGATCCGATTCAATCCCGACTCCGTGCTGGTGCGGCCGTGCTGGCCTGGAGGGGGAGTTGGCGCCGGTTGGAGAATGCGAGCGCACAGCAGCCCCGGCCCCAGCAGGAAACGCCGAGCCCTCCTCCTGCTGACGGCACATCCCTCAAGCGGAGGCGAAGCGCCCTGGCTCGCCTATAGCCCTACCAAACAATGTTCTAAGAGCCTCTTGTGGTGTCCACGAAATGTTCTTAGAACATTTCTGGCGGAGTCTGCCTTCGTTGATCACACGGGGTTTATGTTCTACGAACATTGCTATTATTAGAACACTGTTGTGTTCTAAGAAGATTTCGTGGTAGCACTATAGGAATGCCGGAACGGTCGGTCCCTGCTCAAATCCCGACGCTCGATCCGCTTCGATCCGACGTCCGGAGAGGACGTATCAAAGCAAGCGGCCTCCAGTCAACGTCACCGACGTCGCCTGGGTCGCCCCGGCGGGCGGGGGCTGAGAGCCCGGCGGCCCCAGGGCGGGCGGGGTGCGTGCCGAGATTGCGCACGGCCTCGCAAGCGCTCTCGCCGCGCCGAAAGCCGCCAGTGCCGCGGGCCAAGGGTCAAGTCGGGCTTGTCCCTCTACAGGAGGAAAGTTCAAAAGTAGCACAAAAATGCTCTGGGGACGATTCTTCAACTATTTTGAAGCATTTGGGTGGCATGTTTTGGGTATTTTGAACGTTTCGCCCAAAATCCCCGTATAATAGGGGGACAGTCCCGACCTAAGCCAAGGGGGGCGGGGGGGGGCGTCCGGGGGGTCGGCGGCACGTGAGGAGTTTTCCGCTGCGCGTCTTTCTAGGCTTCCCGGATGGGGTCCGAGCAGACGGAGTCGGCGGATCGAGCCGCATCGCCGATGCATCGGCGATGCGGCTCGATGTGGAGCCCGTGCTTGCCCTCGCCGACGTCGCCCATGCAGCCCCATGCATCGCCCACGTCGCCCATGCATCGCCAGTGCATCGCCGATGCATCGCCAATGCATCGCCAATGCATCGGCGATGCATTGGCGATATGGCGCGATCCTTCGACCCCATCCACTCGGACCCCCTCTGGGAGGCTTCCAGCGACTGGGCCACCCGCGGGGGCAGGAGGGTGGTCGCGCTTCGCGCGTCGCGGTCTGGGCCAGAGCGCCTGCGCGCCTGCCTTTCTCCGAGGGGGTTGGCGCAAGGGCGCGAAGAGACTCATTTGTTGCGCATCGCTGGGCGCGATGCGCTAAGGTGGGTGATCTTGGTTTTCGGCTGCACGGCTAACTCGTGTATGCTCCGATATTACTACTAGTAGCATGTCACCCCTACTGCTACTACACAAACAACCACTAAGCAATGTGGCGCTCAAAAACTACTGAGCAACCACTAAGCAAGCTTGAGTACCACGACTACTGGTAATACTATTACGACTACCACTACGACTACTACTGCTACTACTGCTGCTACTACTATTATTGCTACGACTACTACTACTACTACTACTACTACTACTACTACTACGACTACTACTACTACTACTACTACTACTACTACTACTACTACTACTACTACTACTACTACTACTACTACTACTATACTACTACTACGACTACTACTACTACTACTACTACTACTACTACTACTACTACTACTACTACTACTACTACTACTACTACTACTACTACTACTACTACTACTACTACTACTACTACTACTACTACTACTACTACTACTACTACTACTACTACTACGACAACTACTACTACTACTACTACTACTACTACTACTACTACTACTACTACTACTACTACTACTACTACTACTACTACTACTACTACTACTGCTACTGCTACTACTACTACTACTACTGCTACTACTACTACTACTACTATTACTACTGGTACTACTAATACTACTCATACCACGTCTACTACTAATAAGAATAATAGTACTACTACTAGTAGTAGTAGTACTACGACTACTACGACTACGACTACGACGACTACTACTACTACTACGTACTACGTACTACGTACTACTACTACTACTACTACTACTACTACTACTACTACTACTACTACTACCACTACTACTTCTACTACGACTACTACTACTACTGCTACTACTACTACTACTGCTACTACTACTCTTACTACTGCTGCTGCTACTACCACCACTACTACGTTTACTACAACTACTAGTAGTACCACCACCACCTACTACTACTATTACTGCTGCTGCTTCTGCTGCTGCGACTACTACTACTACTACTACTACTACTACTACTACTACTACTAATATTACTATTACTACTACTACTACTACTACTACTACTACTACTACTACTACTACTACGAGTATTACTACGACTACCGCTACTACTACTACTACTTTTACTACTACTACTACTACTACTGCTACTACGACTGCTACTACTACTACTACTACTATTACTACTACTACTACGACTACTACTACTACTACCACTACTACTACCACTACCACTACCACTACCACTACCACTACCACTGCCACTGCCACTGCCACTGCCACTGCCACTACCACTACCACTACCGCTACCACTACCACTACTAATACTACTGCAACTTCACAAGCAAGGACTACCTCAGTACGCTTACTTTTCTTTGCCCCCAGGCTAGCCGATTGTATTGCTTAGTAGCGGGGCAGTAAAGATAGGAGGCCACATGCGAACCCTACTCACCCCCCCACCCCTTAGAAATCGTTGGATGGTGGGATAGGGTTCGCGTGTGGCCTCCTAGAAGATTTGCATGGCGCATACTGTCCTTGGCCCAGGCTAACCGATGGTATTGCCCAGTGGCGGGGCAACGAACGAAGCGGGGGTGGGTCGAGAGGCATCGCTGGAGGTGGGGACGCGCAGCCCGCCTCCTCGCGCTCGACCGTGCCAGCAGGTTGCCGACGGGGCACGCGTTTGACCAGCATACGTCTGATTCGCAGCAGATTGCCAATAGCCTCGTTGCAACCACGCTCGTGCTCTATGACTCGTAGCATGTTTTTGTCGTTGTCTCCCGGCCCCTCCTCTCTCTTTTTGGTGTTCTATATATTCATATGTGTGTATCTCTCTCTATATATGTTTCTTCTTTCTCTCTGTCCATCCCTCTCCCTCTGTCTCTTTGTCTCGCTCTTGTTGTCTCTCTCTCTCTCTCTATCGAACTGCGCTTCCTCTCGTTCTCCCTCTCTCTCTCTCTCGCTCTCTCTCTCTCTCTCTCTCTCCCTCAGTGTCGTTCGGCTCCTCTCCGTCTCGCTCCCTCTCTTTTTTCCCGCATGTTTCGTGGGTTGTTTGTTTTCTTCCCTGCCGTGTCGCACCCGCGTCTCCTTCTTCTCCCCTCCTCCCTCTGCCTCTCCTCACCTATTACATGCTTCGCGGGGTTATGGTTTTCTTCCCCACATGTTCCGTGGGGTTCTGGTGTTCTTCCTTCCCGCGTCGCACCCGCGTCTCCCGCACACATCTCCCCTCCACTGCACAGCACAGCATAGCACCTCAGCACAGCTCAGCACATCCCTGCTCAGCACAGCACAGCACAGACCTGCTCAGCACAGCACAGCACAGCTCAGCACGGCACAGCTCAGTACAGCACAGCATTGCACAGCACAGCACAGCACAGCACACACACAAGCACGCAAACACACAAACACATGACACGCACGCCACGCAACACATGCGCGCCAACAGGAGGTGCGCAGGGGGGGGGGGTCCCTGAGGGCGGCCGCTATGCGTGACGGTTGTTCAAGGCATAGCAGGCGTGGCATATTCTCGACACCACAGGGGGTGCGCACGGGGTGGTCCCTGAGCGTGGCCGCTATCCGTGAGCGTCGTCCAGGGCACAGCAGGCGTGGCGTTGTCTCGACACCACAGGAGGTGCGCACGGGGTGGTCCCTGAGCACGGCCGCTATCCGTGACAGTCGTCCAGGGCAAAGCAGGCGTGGCGTATTCTCGACACCACAGGGGATGCGCACGGGGTTGTCCCTGAAAGCGGCCGCTATCCGTGACGGTCGTCCAGGGCACAGCAGGCGTGGCGCTTTCTCGACACCACAGGGGGTTCGCACGGGGTGGTCCCTGAACGCGGCCGCTAGCCGTGACGGTCGTCCAGGGCACGGCAGGCGCGGCGCGTGTTCTCGTCACCGCAGGGGGTGCGCACGGGGTGGTCCTTGAGCGTGGCCGCTATCCGTGACCGTCGCCCTTGCCCTAGCAGGCGTGACATATCCTCGACACCACAGGAGGTGCGCACGGGGTGGTCCCTGAGCGTGGCCGCTATCCGTGACGGTCGTCCAGGGCATTGCAGGCGTAGCGTTGTCTCGACACCACAGGGGGTGCGCAGGGGGTGGTCCCTGAGCGCGGCCGTTGTCCATGACGGTCGTCCTTGCCCTAGCAGGCGTGGCGTTGTCTCGACACCACCAGGGGTGCGCACGGGGTGGTCCCTGAGCGCGGCCGCTATCCGTGACGGTCGTCCAGGGCACAGCAGGCGTGGCATTTTCTCGACACCACGGGGGGTGCGCACGGGGTGCTCCCTGAGCGTGGCCGTTATCCGTGACGGTCGTCCAGGGCACGGCAGGCGTGGCGTTTTCTCGACACCACATGGGGTGCGCACGGGGTGGTCCCTGAGCGTGGCCGTTATCCGTGACGGTCGTCCACTCTCCTCCCCCCTCTCCTCTTGAGTGGCGTCACCAACGATACCAGCCATCAACATCGTTCTCACATGCTTCACTTCAGCTAGCATTACTCCAGCCATAATATAAGTATGTTGGGTTCCTCGGTAGCGTAATTGTTGTTCTCTCGCTCTCTCTCTCTCTCTCTCTCCCCGTCTCTCCCTCCTTCTGTCAAGCTCTCACACCCTGTCACACTCTTCATCAATGTCGCTCTCTATGTCTCCCGTTCTCTTGTTTGTCCCCCTTTCTCTTTGTTTTATCTCCGTTACTATATGTATCTCTCCCTCTCTTTCGCGCTCTCTCTCCCTCTCTCTCCCTCTCTCTCTCTTTATCTCTCTCTCTCTCTGTCTGGCGACCTTCATGTCTATATGACTGAGTGTATGTATCCCTCTCCCTGCCTCTTTCTCTTTCTCTTTGTCTTCCTCTCCGTCATCCATCTTTCATTGGCTGTCCATATGTACTTAAATGATGTTTATATGTATGGGTATGGGTGTTTACACGTACATGTGTATATGTGTATGGTGTGTACATGTGTATACCAATTTATACGTATGGGCACACATAGATATACACATATGGATATGCGTTTCTACATGAGTATATGCATATGTATGTCTGCCTGTCTGTCTGTCTGTCCGTTCGTCCGTCCGTCTGTCTGTCTGTCTGTCTGTCTCTCTGTCTCTCTGTCTGTCTCTCTGTCTCCCTGTCTCTCTGTCTCTCTGTCTGTCTGTCTGTCTGTCTGTCTCTCCGTCTCTCTGTCTCTCTGTCTGTCTGTCTGTCTGTCTGTCTCTCTGTCTCTCTGTCTCTCTGTCTCTGTGTCTCTCTGTCTGTCTGTCTATCTGTCTATCTATTTGTCTCTCTTTCTCTCTGTCTCTCTCTCTCTCTCTCT